TCCTCCACGCCTTCAGCAGAACCGTTGGAGCTGACTGGATACAGGATGACTGGAGCGTTGTCGTTCTGATCCAGAATGAACACGTTCACTGTCACGTTGCTGCTCAGAGACGGAGCTCCAGAATCTGTGGCCACAACTTGGAACTGGAAAGTTTTCAGACTCTCAAAGTCAAACATTTTTAATGCTGAAACAGTGCCGTTTGCTTCATTTATAGTTAAAAATGAAGTTACTGAGCTGCTCGAAAATTTCCGTGGAAGTGAATAGGAGATCAGTGCATTTTCACCACTATCTACATCTGTTGCGCTTACTGAAAATATTGACATCCCTGCTTTATTATTTTCAGAGACATAGAAATTGTATGGACTTTCACTGAATAAAGGCTTGTTATCATTCACATCAGTCACTTCCACCAGAATCACCTTCATAGATGATAGAACAGGAGTACCTAAATCCTTTGCTGTTATTTTGATTTTATACATAGGTGTGTTTTCCTTATCTAAATAGTCTTTAGTAACCAGAGAATAAGACTGTCCGTCAGGTGAGGGCTTTAAGTCAAAAGGTAAATCTCCATGCACCTCGCASACCACCTGTCCGTTCACACCAGAATCCAGATCGGTCACGCCCATGAGTGCCACCACAGTTCCAGGAGGCGCATCTTCTGGAATCCGACTTGAGAAGGACGTGATGTCTATTTCAGGTTGGTTATCATTCACGTCTTCCACTCTGACCATCACATTACACTGTGCGGAGGAAGGCACCAAACCTTTGTCTGCAGCCAGGACTTTAATATCATAAACCTGCTTTTCCTCATAGTCTAGGGGTGCTTTCACTGTGAGTTTACCTGTTCTGCTATCCAAATCAAACGGATCAGATGARAAACCTCGACTTTTACTCCTTAAAGAATATTCGATTTCACCATTCATCCCCTCATCTGGGTCTGATGCATTTACAGTCAACAGAAATGTCCCAACAGGGGCGTTCTCTTTTATTGTTATTGTATATTTTGGRTTATTGCACACTGGGGAGTTGTCATTAATGTCAGATACAATAACTGTYATATTTAATGTTCCTGATTTTGATGGTTTTCCTCCATCTGCAGCTGTTAACAGAAGCCAGTGTTGAGCAGCTTCCTCTCTATCTAAAGGTCTTTGTAGTACTAGAAAAGGGACTTTACCTTCCTCTCCAAAATCTTCGGTTTCTAGTCGAAAATATTGGTTATGATTCAGTTTATAAGAATGGATGGAATTCAAACCGACYTCCAAGTCGTGCGCTCCTTCGATCTGAAAACGAGAACCAACGCCGGCAGACTCCAGCACCTCTATTGTSTGGTTCTCTTCTGGAAATCTGGGAGAATTATCATTTACATCAATTATTTCAACAATCAGCTGGTGCATTTCCAGAGGATTTTCCACGARGGCTTTGAGATTTGTGACGCACGGAGCGCTTTTTGCGCACAGCTCCTCTCTGTCGATTCTCTGGTTCACCATCAAAACTCCATCTCTGGGGTTTACTTTAAACAGATCCTGTTTTGTTCCKGATACCACACGCAGATTCCTCTCAGCCAGCCTCCCGGCATCCAGTCCGAGGTCTTTCGCCACATTTCCAACTGCAGTTCCTGGTTTGGATTCCTCCTGGATGGAATATCGAATTTGTGCGGATATTCCTCCAATTTTTACCATTAGCAGCGCCAGACAAAAACAGCCCCACACATCCCTCCATTGTCTCTTGATGTCGGTCACTTCCATTGTTTGATCGCAAAAAAAAAAGCGTTTATTTAATTCAATAAAATCGTTGCTGGGTTTTCAGCGTCCTTCTGTWGTAAATACAAAATGAATGTCTCTGCAAACCATTTTTCTAGCAAAAAGCGAAGCTGTTCATTCCGTTCATCTAAGCTGACTCTACCGGTTGTCACTGAGTACACACGCAGAAAATAAAATGCCCTTCTCACGCACATCACTGCTTCCAAAAATAGTGCGCCAGCGCCGCTCACTGTCATTGCTAAGAGTCTGCAGAGAAGATAAAGAAGATGTTTCCTGGGTTGTTGTGCCAGAAACATATGTTAAAATTAAACTGAAAAATGTGAAATGTCACTATATTAAGTGTATTATTTTTATTTAAAACAATAATTTGAGTTAAAAA